GAGAGGGGGAAAAGGCACAGATTGAACTCAGAGAGGGGGAAAAGGCACAGATTGAACTCGCTGGGTCCTGGGTTGGGACACAAATCCCACGTGGCTTCCCTGAGAGCACACAGGAAAACTGTGGGAAGAGCTCAGAGTGGGACAGGAGTGATTTATCCCCCGCTAAAACCGAGTTCTGAAGGGGGAGGGCATGAAAGRAGAGTGTGAAATCTCTCTTTAATTAGTCCCGTGGTAAATTAATAACCTATTAAAGCTTTCCGAGATCATTAGGGCTCTGTTCATTTCTGGATCCTCCCCAATCAGACAATGCACTGATGGCTTTTCCTTTCTGCTTTTAATCAGCTCTGTTTTCAACTCCTTGATGGCCCAGGCTCCCTGGAGCAGGAACAGATGGAAAAGCTTCAGGGAAAAACCCGATCCATCCTAACAATGGAAACCTTTAGGGGCAGGTTTTATTTCACCCCATCCCCCTGAAGGCCAAGGAGGTCTAACAGGGGGTTCTTGGTGTGTTTTTTGGGGTTCAGGTGCTTCATCATGGAGGACAGGGGGTACCTGGTGGCGCATCCAACGCTCATCGACCCCAAGGGCCACGCGCCCGTGGAGCAGCAGCACATCACACACAAGGTCTGGCTGCTTTCCCTTCCTTCACCCCACAAYCTCTGCTTCCCCAGCTCTGTTTGTGTCTGATTCCAAAGGCATCAAATCCYGATTTCCCACTTAGGAGCCTCTGGTAGCCAACGACATCCTGAACCACCCCAACTTCGTGAAGAAAAACCTCTGCAACAGCTTCAGCGACCGCACCGTGCAGCGCTTCTACAAATTCAACACCAGCTTAGTGGTGAGGGGATTTTCTGTCTGATTTGGCTGTGCTTTGGTGGGGTTGGTGGAAGCACAAGTCCCTGGCAGGATCAGCAGACRGGGCTGGGAGCCAGCGTTCCGTGCGGCTTGGCCTCCGTTCCCCCTCTGCAAACACAACCTCAGTGCTGCAGGCAGTGCTGACAGAGCCCAGGACATCCAGGATTAGAAATGGGAGCTCTCTGCAGGGTCTCAGTGAGCAGCAGAACATCAGAACCCTTTCCTCAACCCTTTTCCAGCTATGGTTGGGATRTTCTGCTTTGGATCTTGCCTGAGCTCTGGCTCCAGCTCTGACCAGCATCACATCCTCCTGTGAGTTCTCTAATAACTTTTTATTTCCAGTAAATAAATCTATTTATAGATATTGGGAAGTAAATAAATCTAATATTGGGAAGTAAATAAATCTGTTTACTGGAAATCCAAATAAATCATTTGTGAGACTGAAATCCTCGGGGTCCTGCACACTCTGTGCTCCCCGTGGATCATGTGTGAGCTTCCTTTTGTGAGGAGTCTAAACCAAGAGCTGTCATCACAGAGCCACAGATCCACCCTGACAAAATCCCTCCAGAATTATTCCAAATCCTTCCAAATTATTCCCCACACTTCCTTAGAGAAGCTGCTTTTGGAGTACTAGTTTTCAATTATTTCTGGGAGGAGAAGGTGGGAAATGATTTGAAAATATTTGCAAGTCWTGTCAGAATCCGTTGATTTATGTCAGGCTGCCTTAAACATTTTCCCCACACTTGGAATGCCGAGTGGGAAGTGTTTWATTGGGGAGGAAATCGAGTAGGACGGAGCAGAAACTTGTTAAAAGGAATCAGGAAGGAGTCTGCAGGAGCTGGGCAGTGCTCTGGTGGCTTTTTTTAAGGCTCAGGAAGTTTTCAGCACATGGTGGTGGCTCCCATCAGAGCCTCTGAGGTCCCTGATGG